TGTAGGGAAACCTCAAACAGACGCTTGTTTTCAATAGAGCTGGATATATATCACACCACTCACTATGCATCCTGCTTTCACACATTTTACGCTTTTATATTAGTCAGCAAGAAAAAGAAAGCACTAGAGATATATGTCACCACTTTGGAAAAAAGTTTTAAACACCCAGGATAATTTAGATGGTTGCAGCATATGGCATTAGCAACACCTTATGGAACAGAAATGCCAGCAAGCAGTCAAGCTGTAAAGTCAGCATGCACTGGAACTGCTGCTCCAGCCTTAATCAAACACCAAATCCTGAGGTCATCATTTATCAAGATTAAATTCTCCATGAGTCATATCTGAGTTAAGATTTAAAAGCCACATTCAGAGACGGGTAGTTCGGAGTTTGGTACACAGAGATGCTAACTTCATTCTCCTAAATACTCCTCTGCCTGGCTGATGAGCAACTCAGATTGTCTAGAATCAAGGGTTGCCAGTTACTGGCTCTCTGTCTAGAGAATAACCACAAGATGAGTTTGATCCTGTGCATTAAGCAGTTTGGAGGATATGCGTAGGCACAGATTCAAAGTACCACCATACAACGTTAATCAAAGCACTACCTTACAACCTCTATCACCCACCATCTTTTTTCTACTAACAAGAAAATGCACTAAAAGGACAGTTAGCCTACTCATAAGTATGCTCAGAAAATTTCTATTACAGACTGATTTAAACCAATATATGACAGCAGAATATGAACAGGAAGCAATTACTAGAAATACCAGTCAACTCTTTTTAAGAAATACATTTTACTTCTGGATTCATCATTTTGAAACAACCAAAGGCATCTTTACACTCCTGCTTCTTATGATTTTGTGCATCATTTATGTAGGCATGATATTCTTGACCTTGACAGCCTTTTTTATTTACTGTTATACCATACACAGCACAAAATTCAGAATGACATTACTGTGATGTGGAAGTCCAAGGTTATTATGGACGTCAGAGATGAACATACAGTACTAACCTGTTGAGGGCTACCTCCAGAGGTAGGGTAATATTCAACTCTGTATCTATCAACACTTTCAGGAGGTGGACTCCATCTCAGTCTGAAAGAACGAGGTGTCACTTCTGAAATAACTAGGTTAGAGGGAGGTGGTAAATCACCTACAAATGGAAGCAAATTAAAAAACTATTACTTTATCTTATATCATCAAGAATAAAAGCATGAGACAAAAAAAAATTTCATAGGGAAAAAAAAACACCTGAGGTACTTACTTATGTTTCTGTTTCCTCAGGAATTCTTAAAACAACTGTGTGAAGAGAGAGCTCACCATCACAGTCTCAAGACCAAATAAGTTCCCTAATATTCCTATTCAACACCACTGTTTCAATGCAGAACCATCATCTAACATTACTGTTTTTCCATGCTCGGCTTTGCTTTTGGGCTGTCAGACATTAATACTTGTAAAGAGCAGGGCTGCTGAAATTTTCCTTACTGAATGCGTGCCATCAAAGAACCTGCCACAATGAGCAAAAAGGTGACAGATTGAGCAACATACTTCCTGACTCTGGGAGAAAAGAAGGCACATCCAGCCATGTCATGCTGTGTTAGGTATTACACATTCATTGTCGAAAGGAAAGGAAGAACCCCTGCAGGGTAGTCCAGGTGGTCTGCACAACTTCCTCGCACCAGCAGCTGAAAAAACAGCCCAGGGCTACACAGCGTTCCCAATAAGTAATAAAAAGGAATAAGCAGTACAAGCACGTAAATGGAAAAATCATGAATTAGACTGAAAATGTGATGTACCTGGACCTTTCACACTATTACACAGATTTGTAGTTACATCATCAACAATGCTCGCCAGGAAGGAGAAATCGGCAACGTTGTAAGCATGGATGTCATCTGGATCCGTTGCAATCTGCTTTAATTCATTTTCATCTGCATTTTTAATACCTTACAGAGAAGACATGAAAACAAAACTTGTAAGAATGCTGGCCATGAAAAATAATGCCATAAACTTAAGTCTCTAAACACATCCTCTGGATATCCTTTTAGGTACTTATGTATGTGGCCACTTCTCTGTGCATTTAGCAGATGGGCAGGAGAGGGTTGGTGCAGGTTACCTCTTCATATAATACTTACCAATTGCATAAAGTTCCACTCCCTCATCTCTGAGTCTTCTTGAAGGGGTGACTACATCATCTTGTGATTTGCCATCAGTGATGAGAACACCAATTTTGCGAGCTCTGGGCCTTAAGCCTGCGTCTTGCTTGAAGTTGTTTTTTAAGATGAAATCCAAGGCCATTCCTACCGTCATAAAAAGATTGCAATCATCACTATAAACTATTTCCTGATACGATTTCAGCTGAAACTGATACGATTTCAGCCCTTTCAAAGTCTCTAATCTCTTAACTTTTATGCATCACTCTCCTAACTGATCTTCTCTAGCCTCCCTTCAGGATCCTCACCTTGTCTGCATCCCAACCTTGACATGGAATTGCCTTTTCTGCTTCTCATATGCTCAACAGAGACCCAAGCTCACCCTTTCCTCCATCGCATTTCTCTAGACTTCCACTGAGTTTATATGTTTATGCTATGCCTGTTCTCCTACAAACATACTAAATTGAACTGTAAGACTCTTTCATCATGGACAATTTTGAACTCACCGAACAGTGCTGGGGTCAGCTACTAGAGTTATTTTTACTGGAGCTTAAGGGAAATCCTGGCAATGTGACATACCTGTTAGAGTATTGCCTCCTTTATATGGTAAATTGGCCACAGCCTCTAACAAAGCCTGTTTGGTTCTGTAAGCATTGAGATTCCATTCTGTCCTGGGATCTCCACTATACTGTGCAAGACCTGGAAAAAAAGTCATCATTACTCAGTTATTACGCGGCTGTGTAGTAGTTATGTCTCATTATCCCTCCAATATATGAGGACTTACCAATCTGTACTTTGTCAGGACCAATATCAAAAACTTCAACAATGCGGGCAATGAAGTTCCTGATAGTTTTAAAATTTGGCCGCCCAATACTCCATGAGCCATCCACCAGCAGCACGATGTCAGCTTCTGCTCTGGTTCTACATTCTAACCCTGCCATGTCAATCAGAAAAATATAACCTTAGCATTATCACTTTCAACCAGAAAAATACAGTCTTAGCATGATAGCCTGCTTTCCCCATCCTTTTATATGACATATGTCATGAGTAAACTTTCAAAATAACTCTAGTTTTATCCGCTGGCACTCTGTCAAGTATGACCTATTTGTGAACATTATTCACACCAGTCACTGGTTCCATGGCAAAAGCCGTATAAATTTCATCATGTATGTTTCCTTTTATAAATAAGCCTTTGCAAACGTCAGGGACAGAGGACAATGCTCTTCTCTACTGTCATGTCATTATCTGGTTTGGCCTTTAAAGATGGTTGATAACTTGATTTCAGAGGTTTTGTAAAAGACTACTAAACTAACCACTGTCATGGCAGTGAGCATTATCAAATTATCCAAATTCACAACATTTTAGTCTGTCATGGATAGATAAAATACTGCTTAATTTTCAACTATGTAATAGTGGAATTAATAGCATAGATTACAACCACTTTCAAATAAATAGCGTTTCTGAATTTTCAGGGGAAAAAGACGTAGTAATACAGGTGGTATAAAAGTTTGCACATACAGAAAAGAATGAACACAATTTAGAGAAGATACACAAACATAAACACAGGTCAAACAATAGAGAGGGCACAAGAACAAACATTTATATAAAGCTGCAATGTTCTCAGAAGGTAGGAAGTTATTTCAGTTATCTTTAGTTTACAAATTACAGCATCATATTGTTTTTATCACAAGGAAAAAATCACAAAATATTTATACAAAACACAAAGACACAAAGTCATTTGAAAAAAAATAAAATAAAATAATAATCCTTGCTCTCTCTCTTTTCCTGTAGATTGTGTTACCAGCTGCAAATTTTCTGGCTTCCTGCCATCAGAGCTTCTGGTCTTTATATGGAAGAAATCCCATTGAGAAAAATCAGCCACACTCATCATAGTTGAAAGATATTGTGATTTCATATATGTTCCACATAATTGATCCAACACTGTAGACTCATGAATATAACTATTCCATGTACCTGGGGGTTAAAAGCATGATCCTCTTCTGCATAGAAAATATAGATCTAGTCTTTAGTCAGGACAATAAAATCAGTTGGGAGTATGGTTTAAGTAAAACCATGTTAGTTAAAAAAATTGCATGCATAACTAATATGGAAGTTAAAGTTAGCTTCATGTACAATATAAAAGTTAAACTATTTTGATTTTTATTTTTCTTCCAACTACCATAGTTCCCCACGTGGAAAATTATACCAAAGGCATCAGACCTAGGGTGATATTTTTCCCCTATTAATAAATAAAGTACTATTACATTTACGGTCCCAGATATAAAATTCATTTTTCACATTAACCATGACTCAAATCCATGCATTAGTAAAACTAATTAGCTGAAAGAATATAACACTGAAGACAAAAATTACAGCTGCCCTAATAAAAAGTAACAAACCATTCTTGGTGCAATTATTTTTCTGCCAGATTTCTTACAGCTTTACTCTAATGTCACTGATGGCCTGTTACGTAGTTTTTCTTAAGTTTTACTCTCTTTTATTAGACTGAGCAGAACAGCAATTAATTGAGTTTCTAAAAATATTGTCAATAAAGTTACACAAGGTATTTTTTACACAGCCCAGTGTGAAAACAAGGCATCGAAGAGGTTAAGTGAAAAGAATATAGAGTCAATTGTTAGAAACATTTTTTTCTTTATTTAACTCTGAAAGGTCTTTGCAGTTAGGTTCTTGGTCCTCAACAAATTCTCTCTGGTGGTTATGCAAACCTTGAAATGGCAGAGAAGTCTTTAATTCTACATGTATACTTGGCTATTAAGAAGCAAAGACTTGCTTCTTCATGCTTGACATGAAGGAGGACTGAGCCCTGAAACTGTTTTCATCCCATACTAACTGAGACTCTGGTGGGCACAACGTTTAGCATGAAGAGGCCCATTAACCACACCAAGAGAGCTGTTATCCTAACACTCATAGAAACTTTAACTGGAAGGTTTAGCTAGACAGGGTGAAACTCCCAAACGGATATGATACTAGAAAGCACTCAACAATTGCTTTTCTGAAATAAACCTCCTCCTCCTGTAGTAAAAAAAAATTATAATTACTACATAATGGCTATGTTGAACATAAACTTAAATAATACATAGTAACACTGGAACATTCACAACTATCAGATTTTTATTCATGATATCATCTTGGTCTTAAAAGGAAAAGTCACCATATAAGGACAAGCAAAGGGCTACAGATCTGCTTAAAATTCCTTGTTCTACTCCCATGAACACCCCTGTAGACGAGCCATGATCTCTGTTCAAGAATTTGACCTTATGTGATTTAACACAGATGTGGATGGCTTGAAAATGCAACACAGATGGCTTTGAGTAATCAGCAAAACATGGGTTGCCTGAGTTATCATCTTTGTAAGATCATCTAAAGGGTGCAGAGGACTAGAATTGTGAACTGGGGTATACTTAGTGGTCATTTCAGACCAGGGGTTATGTCATCAGGGTAGGGAGTACACTGAATCCTGAAAATAAATATTTATGTGTATTAGAAAAACGACAAGGACACACTGGTAAACTTTTGGCCTTTTCTTATCCAAAAGCCAAGCTCGCCTTTTCTGTAATTCAATCATGTTTACCTCTAGATAAAAATGGCTCCGAGGTAGTATCTGAAAGGGTGGTCATCTCTTGTCCAACCAGGGGATTGCTCTCTCCTCCTTCAAACATTCCAAAAACATTTACCTTATAGGTAGTTCCTGCCCTGCAACAGTTAAACAAATGTACTGTAACCAAAGTCACTTGGCTCGCTAAATGCTGACACTTGGCTTATGAGTTCTCACAGAAAAATTCCTCTGTGGAAAAGAAGGTGCTAAAATGTGAAGCCCAAAGTGTAGCTCTTCCACAAAACAATGAGGTTTCAACAATTTACAAACTGATTCTAGATTCTATACTTTAAATTTATAGCCTTCTTCATTCACATAATTTAAGACTTTTAAAGATCCTATTTTCAATATATTTAGTATATTTGCATAACAGATTTGACATGGTCTGAAGCCTACTTTATAAATCCAGGCTTCTGAGAAAATTAATCAAGAGCAAAACTCAGCTTTTTTAACAAACATGAGGTAAGAAACTTTTGGGAGGAAACTTTAAAAATCCCAACTTTCTCCAATATCCCATTAGCTTTCTCATATGCGAAATGCAGCACACAGCCCCTGTCCACATCTTTGCCTCCTTCAGTTCCTGTGACAACACCACAAGTGATGTGAATGAATAATCTCAGAAAGACCCCTGCCAGGTGCCTTTCAGAGACTGCATAACAAGACCTTCATAGCTTATTCCTACTTACAGTAGATTTTGTCAGGCATATCAATCCCAGATCATGATTAAACAGAACCCCGAGTTAAAGTTACTTTTAAAAAGAAAAAAAAATTATTATCCATACCTAAGCTCCTCCAATACCACTGTGCTGTCGTATGGCCCCACTATTAATTCTCCAAGACTCCCATCATCTTCCGTAGGGTGGAAAGTTACTTTGTATCCCTTCACTCGTCCTGGGGCTGGCTCCCAGGTTACTCGGAAACTTGACATAGTTGAATCAGAAGTTCTCAGATTTCGAGGAGGTTTAAAGGGAGAGGCTGCAAGGATGGGGTGGGCGGAAGAAAAGGTTTCAATCAGGTCTGCTCATGGAAAAAAAAATCAACAAGCATGCTTTTATGTAAAGATCCTTATGCGTATCTGGTATTAGTGGCAGCCCTGAACTCCTAATGCCTTTCCTTTGACACAAAGATAAGTATCAAGAGGTGAAGGGTAAGACTCACCACTTAATTTTAGCTATCTAACCAATAGTATGTGGGCTAAGTTTGTTATCAAGGCAGCCTCTGCAGTCAACTGACTGAGGAATAGATAGTAATTCATCTCACCTGTCTTAAACATCCATCTGATCTTACAATAAATGTTGACAATAGGTAAACTAAGCACCGTCAGTCCTTCTATTAATTACAGAGAAATGGCAACAAGTAGGTGAGCCGTAGAGACCAAAAGAGAGAAATGTAAACAGCTTCAAAGCAACACCGGAAAAATCAGAATTTACTGCAGGCAAAAGTCACACACAGCCACTACTCAGTCACCAATATCACTTCTCAAGCTGCTTCCTCCTCAGAGTTCTGTGTCCCAGAGCTCAGAGCATGGAGAAGGTGGAAACAAGGACCCTTTCATAGAAAACATCCTGCCAACAGTCCTCTCCATTTACAGGCTCAGGGCCTGGCAGCTCAAGCAATTTCACCAACCACAGCTGTGGCAGTGTGTCAAAAAATGATTCTTCAGAGGAGTGCCAACCAAACAGCTTGAGGTTTTTAGGTCAAGAGCAACTTCCTCCAAAAACTAAACGGCTACCCAGTGCAGGTCAGGACTCACAGGCAGAATGGTTAACCACCCTGCTGCTAGCTTCTGCATTACTTTTGCTTTTGTGTAAATCTGAAGTGCATTCGTAGAAAATATTGCAGCAGTGTAATGTCAAAGTTGTAAAAATGGAATTTACAGTAAAAAGAAAGTCACCACTGTAGCTTTGGAGTGAAAAAGTGGAGGGGGGCAGGGGGGGAAGGGTTTGTATTATCCCTGTGCCTACTCAATTGTGTAACTATAGCTGAACAATCACAAGTGTCCTCAGATTATGAATTCTGCTGAGAAACAGTAGATACACTCACAAGGGAAAACACAGCATCTCTGTCTCATCTCCCATGACACTCCTCCCTGAATTATCACAATAGCTTCAACTAATAAAATCATTCAGACTCCACTTGCTTCCCAAGAGTGATTACCACCACAATTATTTACACTGAAAGCACAGAGGCATATCTGTATAAAGAGGAACAGGTCAAAAAATCGAAAGCATCTGTATAATCTGAGATTTATCTCAGTATAATTTTCAAGGTTGAAAAACTAGATGTTGGTCAAGAGCCAATCAATTTTTCATGACTCGTTTACATCAACCACATTTTCATTTAAAAAGAAATCTTCCTACAGTAACTGAAGTGCTGGTATCTCCACTGTTAGGAGACTTGTTTCTTACTTCCAGTCATCATTCAATGTGATATATGTTCAATGGACAGAGAATGGCATGGAGTATTTACAGTGTACCTCAGTGAATGGCACTAGTACTACATGGGCAGAAACATCCTGAAAGAAACTCTCTTTTGGTAATAGGTCTCTACCTATGGAAGCAGAAAACTGACTCTAAATCTAGTTGATTTGATCTGGATATCAAAAGAATATTTCCTTAGTAAATTAAAAACAGCACCAGATGCATACTAGGGGCAGAGTAGAAAACGAGTTTTGCTTTTACTGCAAAAATCCCCTCACCAGGACTTTAACTTTGTTAAACGTTTTAGAGTTTCAGCTCTTGAGAATGAAGACAGCTTGTCCAAAACACTGTGGTCTCTGAGGTCAGACTTCCACTGATGACTCTTTAAAATCATCTACTGCCCTTTTTATTACCTCAGGTTTTCCACAGAAAATACGGTAACCAAAGAAGTCAAATCTAAGTAACAGGATGCTGGGTAGCTATTTAATCAATTCCCACAACCAAAAGGCAAATTATGAAACAACTGACAAGTTGATAAATAATCTGTTGATATACTGTCTTCCTCACAAAAAACCTTGTTTTGACTTCTGATGACAGTGTTTCAAAACAAGTCCAGTATTTTCAACCAGATTTTACACCATATTTACACCCTAATATCAACAGAGAAAAACTGTGCTCAGGCTATGCCATAGTGAAGTTTCCAACAAATCAAAATTTCTAATCAACCTCTAACATTTTCTTCAAATTCGCCTATTAATTCATGATCTTGGCAGACACGACCAAAATTTTTTATGTCACGATTATTAATTTTAAGCACAAAACTTCAATCATCAAATCCTGAACAAGTTTGTGATACATACCTGTTGTTCCTTCTGCTTTTCTTGATTTTCCTTGTCCAAAATCATAAATTGGAACAACACTGAGGTCATATGTAGTTCGTGGCTTAAGTCGCTTTAACACTATGCTTGTAGCAGGAGCATTTACTCTTCCAAACATCTGTCTTCCTCCACTGCGTGGTCGGTAGTAGACACGGTAAGACAAGACTTTCCCGGGTGAAGGCTGCCATGTAACTCTCATTGTATTTTCTGTCTCATTGTCTACTGTCACAGTCCTGGCATTTGGTGACACTTTTCAGTGTAAAAATACGGACAAATGTTTACTTTGTCACATAAAGATATATTCACATGCATGCCTACAAAATTAATTCTGAATTATTAAAAAAAAAAAAATTGCCCTCCTTAAAATTACAGTATTTGATTGTGGGGAAAACAGAATCTCACAGGCCATTGTTAAATTATTTTGTAATTGTAATTGATTAAACAAGTGTAAGTGTGCTTTCCACTACAGAGAAGAACAGAGGGAAGTATAAATTACACGATGACACAGCATAATTGGCAGTTTTATTTAGTCACGTTTTTAGTAATCTGTTAAATATTGAATTCAGAACTCTCAAATAAAAGTGATAAAATATAAGACCATTTTTTTTTATCAACACAATGTCCTACAGAGTTATGATTTTCTGTTTCAAGTTTACAGATCTGATAAGGTACTGGTAAATGCCTAGTCTGACGGCTCCATACAAACTATCCTGTAAATAGTGGTGAGTGACTTTCCAAATGCTTGGAAAATCACGCACCACTATTTGCAGGATAGTGTATGTGCTGAAATAAGCACATGGAGTATTAAAGCATATTCTCTATGAATTGCAGCATTCGGCTTCTAAGAGATATTTTCCAGACTGTGCAAATGTTACAAATGATCTGAAGTGAACTGAAAGGTATGTAGCGCTGGCTGTCAGACGGAATAAGCCATCTAGGTTTTGGCAAAACAGAACCTTCTTGGCATGCTAGGATTAGTCATTATTTCATCACACATAAAGTAGGCTTTGCAGGCTACAGTATCCTTTCCCAGTCCTAGGAACTGACAATTTCTGTGTTTGTACCAGAAAGATGCAACGTTAGTAAGTCTCAGGCCTGAGCCTATTGTGAGGCCTGGCAACGTGGGACAGCAGACTGCTTTGACTCTGGGGAGTCAGCTCTTACCAGTGGCAACAATAACTACTCTCGCAAGACCTTAAGAGCAACTACACTGGGTCAAGGCCAAAGGTTGAAGTAGTTCATCAGCCTGTCTCCAACAGTAGTCAAAACAGATGCTTAGGAAAGAGTACAAGAACATGTAAACACACATGATGCTTCCCCAGAGCATTTCTTCAGGCTTCATCTTCACAGGGCCCCTTCAGGAAAACAACAGAAACACCAAGGCTGATCCAGGGCATCCCTTCCTTCATTCTGGCTCCTCTACTTGCCAGTTCTTGCTATAAAGCAACAACCTATCCCTGGCCTCTCAGTGTTTTTTATGTTGCCTACACTGCAGAAGGGGCTTGAGCCTGTTTTGGTTAACACTAGATAATGTTCATCAAATAAGAAAAAAAGATGAGCCTCAGGAAAGGTAAAAAAAACCAAACAAACAAAAATCAAAATTACCCAGCAAGCCTCAGTTTGGGGACTGCAAAGACTGCAAAAGGCAATAGCTCGGAAAGGAAATTCATTGATTCTGAGGGAATTTATCCCACCTTTCCTCTTTCTACATCCACAACATTTATTCCACCTGATCTCCAGCAGTCACACTAAACCTATGAAACACTGGCTTCATAGTAATTTGCAGACAAAATCACATCTGAAGTTGGAAGTAATTCTTGCCAAATCCAAACCTACGTGACGTAGAAGAGATTCTCTTTTTCATTAATGGTCAAATAAAAAGCCGGAATTGACTGATCTGAGGTAGCTTTTTGGTTTGCAGAGAATACTCAGGAAAAAAAAGGTGATGAAAAGTAAGGTCCATTTTCATTTTAATATGATAATTCCATCAGGAACAGAATGTTACAAATGTTGTTAATGTTGTACTATGCTCACCATCAGTAAAAGCCTCTCCTTCTACTGGGTCTCCATCTCCACTTCTGTAAGTTGCGTATACTGAAATCCTGTATTTAGTCTCCGGCTCCAAGCCCTCTAGCACAGCATCCACTGTATTTCCAGGGACTCTCTTCTCTCCCATTGTATCATCATAAAGTGATTTCCATACTATCCTATAATTATTAACTGCTCCTGGAGCTGGTGTCCATGATAACCCAACTGTAGTGTCAGTTATGTCTGTGGTAACCAAATTACGTGGTGAACCACGTTCTGCAAGAAAGAAAACAGCAAATTGTCTCTAAAATACAAATAGCAGAAGTTAGCAAAGTACAAATGCAAAAGTAAAGTGATCACAAGAGCAAAATCAATTTTTTCCCGTCAATATTAGTTTAAATATCATACATTTGTAGGTCCAAGAGAAAATTGATGGGTTTTTCAACAAAATGCTTAAAGCTAACTTTAGACTATGAACAATCCTATCCCTTATGATGCAAGATAATTAGCAGGTATGCTTTAGAATATGTAAAATAAAAATTACGTTAATCAAAGACCTGGAATGAAGCCTGTGCTTAAATGTGGTGCAGCCCATTTAGGTAGGTTTTAAGTCTCAAGTAAATAATTTTATTTCATTCATTCATCTTCATCCTCATGTGTGTAAATTTTTCCTGGGGTTCAATAAAGAAAACTTTTACCTGAGTCAAATTGTCCGTGCTCTGACAACCTTATCTTCTTATTAATAGCACTATTCTATTCTTCCAGACTACCACTTACCAGATCTATCAGCTATTTAATTTTATATTTACAACTAATTTGCAGTGTGTTTACTTTATGCCACAGTTACAGTAGAAAACAGTCTCCATCTTTCCACTCATAAGACTTGTACCTCTTTCCTCCCTGTAATTTGTTCCAGCCAGCTTGGAACAAAGGAAACAGCCCATTAGTCTGCGAAATCCAGTTGTCAGCCGGAATCGTGAGTCTCACCTAACACGCCAGACTAATTACACTGCTTAAGAATGGAGCTCAGTGGTCTAAAGTGGTGCAGTGAAAGGAACGCCTCTGTTTAATGTTTAACATACGTTTAGAACATATGTTCAACTTTCCTATTGCAGTGGCTGGCTTTTGACTGCAGGAAAGGAGCGCTGACTGGTGGGTTTACTGCAATGGCCTCACTGTAGCAAAACCTGCAAAAGGAATCTACAAAACCAGATCCACATATGCACAGAGGCGCTCGATTCTTTGGTGTGTGTTCTCTGTGGCCTTTCTCACTGTACAGGACATTCCTGAGAGACTGCCTAGCAAGAGGACTTAAACACTTGAGGTGGCCTCATGGCATCACAGTTAAGTTTTATCTGCGCTGATAAAAATATATCCTTATATCATAGCACAGCAGCCACAGGACCAGATTCAAAGTTCTTTGAACACAGAGAAATTCAGTATCTATCCAATTTCCACTGCTTAGGCTCATTGCAAGAATAGACCTCACTTTTTTTCAGAAGCCTGAAGCAGTTTCAGTCAAAGACTATGCAACAAGTTGCTCAAAGTCATATACTGTGTTTTCACTTTTCATATCCATTTGTCTTTCCCTTCCACCACAAATCTGCAACATCTGCAAACATAACCCCACTGGAGCAAACAGGACTACCTGTAGAAAGCCTCATTTTGGAAATATGTCATTACCAGCATAACAATTAAAACCGAGCCAGTGTATCTCAGCTGGCTTAATAAAATGGAAATTCATGTCATAGAATCACAGAATCACAGTTTAGGTTGGAAGGGACCTTACAGATCATCTATTTCCAACCCCTCACAACCTATCTGAAAACATACTTGCAGTATAACAAAGATTCATCAACTACACAGATCACAGAACCAGAGGATACTACTCTAATCACAAAGCTGATTCTCAAATACAGCTAATAAAGCATATAATAGAATTCCTTTGTGTTGTGGGTGTTTTTCTGATTTTAATTCAGTCTTGGGACATCTCATCATGATTTTCTGCAGACAACACTTTTTACATCCTAAGTCTGCATAAGTTCTTACAATTTTAATCTTCAAACCAATTTTTAGCCTAACAATATAAATCATGAATCATGAAAATTTATGGCATCTTCTCATCATAAAAAAGGTTAAGATAAAGAGATTTTTGTAAAGTTCACTTGTTTATCATTTCACAACAACAGAAGTTGTAATACAGTGAAAAAGTTATAGTGAAAAGGCCTAATTCAGCTCATGCTTCATGAAGTCCCACCGAATTCAGTGACTGTATTAAATGAAAGCCAGGGCAGAACCTAAACTCCAAAGACCAATTTTCCTGGAAGCCTGAAAAAAAGACTTGCCTTCAAAAGTAAATTACACCAATTTTTCTGTCTGCTCTTAAGCTTCTACTCCCAAATCTTGGCTTTTTCATACAATAAAAAAAATATTAAGGCAATCCAAATGGAAAAAATATGGAAAACCTAACTTGATAGAATGCACAGATGTCTCACAATAAAAACCTTTCTTTCCATATTTTAATGCAATATAAATATACAAGTCACTTTATTTTGGCTACTTTAAAACATGGCTCTGCCACAACATGATTTCAGTATTAAAGTATCTGCTACCACAGCACAATTTTTTGCAAGTCTACTCTTGGACACTACAGCTAATGATATATGTTGGAAACACTGCAAAAATAACTGCGTATTTAAAACCGTTATTGATTAAGTCATTACTGAGGTCATTAAATAACAGAGGAAAATAATTTGTTTGGAATGGATTGTAATGAACACCAGTTACTGTAATATGTTGGTTCTGAACAAAATATCCTTTGGAACTAAATGTCTTTTTTATAAGGCAAGGTAGGAGAGGAAAGAGGCTGGGGCTCCTACCAAACCACTGGAACTAAGTGGAAAATTTTTACTTCAAATAGTTGGAAACTGCTGACAAGACAACTAACCTCCTAAGGGAAATTAGACTTTTTATATGTTACACTGCAACCGAGAACATTTCTTTAACATAACACACTAACTTGATTTGCACCTCATGTGTGAGGTGGAAGTTCACTCACAGCTTTTTTCTGCTTTACTGGATCTCCACAAGAGTTTTTGTATTAGGGGAACACCTGTGTTTAAGATGCAGTCCAACTCTTAGTCTTAAATTATTAGGATTCCATCAAATATTATCTAAGATGCCACACTCTTAGGCAAGAAACATATTTATGCTCCACAATAACACTGGTATAATGCAGTCACTAGCAAAAGTACAATGAGATCCATGAAATGTTTCTTCCTTGGATCAAAACAAAATACCTAGTTACATTGCTCAGTACAACTGTAGTCATTCTGCCCTTCTTTTCACGCATTCAGAAGTGCTTGTTGTACATCTACTATTTCCAGTGTTAAGCACAGATGTCACCCATGCTGTTAAGCAAACCATGAACAGACCATTACCCCAGCTGGTAGGTAGATTTCATCTCCCTTGAAAATGAGATTTTGTTTCACATTACCTTAGAAGTAAAAAAAAAAAAAAAAAAAATTATTAAAACCTAAGAGAACTGTGAGCAGTAAAAAGCAGAGGCTAATGTGAGACTAGTGTTCTTGGCTATACCTGCTTCTTGCCTGCTTGTTTAAACAGGATGGATAGGGAGCATGGAAAGATAATGCACACTGTAAAAAAGAAAAGTACTGGCTGGCTGTCTCAGAAGTAGTTGTCAAAAGACTCCTGCTTTTTCTTGACTTGAGATGGCAGCTGAAGTATGTTCATCAGTTCATACAGCTCCCAAGTCACCAGCAAGTGAGGGAGCAGTTGTTCTTTGAAAATTATTCCCTAACAGGCATTAGGTCCTATGATGGTGCACCAAACCAGCTGATGTAAGCACAGCTCTAAGTCATGGTGAATATGTACACAGTAAGACAAAGTGCTTGCACAGACAGGTCAACCCCCTGCCTAGGCAAGCAAGCCAGTCACCAGTTTCAGGCTGTTGGATTCTCCTCAGCAGTCTAGCTCAGAGCTGGTCTGCCTACAGTCCCATCTGCATCTGTACCAGGACCGAGTGTAAATACGCTCTCACAAATGAACTTCCTAACTTTGTCAGGTGTTTTTACACCCAGTTCTGGACTTCAGCAATGTCCAGTTTCCATACTAATTTTTTCCACTGTAGTATGCCAGAGACAATATAACATTAAAGCAGTTTCCCTGTGTCCACTTGGCTCATTTCCCATAGCTCTCAAGCATTCACTGTTGTTACTGAACACAAGACTGTGAATCAGCTAAAATTAAAATGTTGACATTCATAAAAATCAAATGGCCTTATTCAAATGGTCTTTGCCCTCAGGAACATTTACACAACTCCATCTGACTTCAGTGGGAGTTGCACATGCAGTTTGGGCCCAAAGTTTAAATCTGCATGTGTTCTTAAAACCAGCTTTCAAAATCAACCAGCAGTGATAAATTTCATGCAGAGCCATGTTTCATTTAAGTTAAGCATAGGATTGATCTAAGCCAGCATCCTAAAAGGTCAGAATCAACTAAATAAGCCTCCTCTTGTAGAAGCATATACCAAAATTTTACGGCCTTTACCTGCCTTGCTTACGATGGGATATGTCAGGAGTATCCTAATGAAGTCAGCAGGCTAGGTCGCTGCAGCCAAGGATTAAGTGCACGCATCAGATGAGATGGTAGCAGAATCCCTCTAAGGTTTTACTCTAATGGTCAAACCCTCCTCAGCACTGGAGGAAGCAGTCACTTTGGTTAGATGATATCCTTCTCTCTAAGCCACAAAGCGATTGGTTATTCTTGGAGTACCAGCCCTCGAGCGCATAGAGAGGGGTTGTGGGCACAGTGTGGAGGAGAGCCAAGGCCTTGCTGCATAAAGGTAATGCTCACTGGCCCTCTTAGAGCAGGTTTCTTGCTCTTCTGCTACTGGGAATGCAGAAGGGTGAGAAGATGCAAACCAGGAGAGTTTTGACCCAAAACGGGGGGACTTTGGCTATAGCATGCCTGAGTCCCTGCTCTAGCATAAAGCCAACTGAATTCATATTCAGTCCCTTTAATATTTTATCTGTCTTTTCCAAAAGTTAGTCCATTAACACAACACTTGACTGTCTAGAAATATCTTTTTATTATTCGTTCAACCTTCCCCGTGTTCATTTTTTTTGTGACACATATATTTCCTATGTAAAACTATGATAATTTTCCACAGATTATCAAAAGTCAATTTCAAATGTCAGACTCAAAAATCTTGGAATATATCATTTTAAAAATGCATGAAATGGCATTAAATCTCC